GAGGAGGAGGAGGAGGAGGAGGAGGAGGAGAGGAGAAAGAGGAGGAGAGTTTTGATAAGAAAACACCACGACCATGAGTAGTTACTAGTAGAAATTAGCTGGTTCTGAAAACATTTAAACGATCAAAAATCTTAGTTTGAAATGTTGGCTCTGGTTGGTTGACATACTGAATCTACACTTTTACCTAAATAAGGGGAAAGAACCAAGGAATAATGGGAACAGGAATGTCCGCTGGATCTGCTCAAAAATTCAAGATGGCAGCCGCAACATGTGGTTGAAACGGCTTGTGGTTTAATGTTCCTTGTTTTTAAGGCAGACACATAAAGCACACACAACCCCCCCCTCCATTCAATCACACCACTTCAGCTGCCATCTTGACTTTTTTGACTGGATCCTGCAGACACTTCTGAACAGGGAAGTTGCTAGGATCTCCACTCTTGGATTCTGGAATCTTCTCTTCTTCTAACCTTGTTCCGGCTGACTCATTCTTTCTTGTCCAAATAAAATAAAATAAAAACACAACGTACCTTGATGAAGAACTGAATGCACGTCTTCTCATCCGGCTGGTAAGAAATACACAGCATTACAAACCCAATGATGGCCACCAGACAAACCTGGAGAGAAGAAAGATGAATACATTGAGATTTTAAAACTGGAGGAGACAGAAAAGAAGACCTGGCCAGACCCAAACCCTCCATTATCAGTTTAGGAGGTCAGATAGTTAGCAGAATAACTGAGTGGGAAGGGACCTTGGAGGTCTTCTAGTCCAACCCCTGCTCAAGCATGCCAGACAAATGGTTGTGCAGTCTCTTCATGAAAGCCTCCAGTGATGGAGCACCTTCAATTTCTGGAGACAAGCCCAATTAATTGTTCTCACCGTTGGGAGAACAGTGAGGTTCTAGTTCTAGGTTGCTTCTCTTCTTGATGAGTTTCCATCCATTGCTGCTTCTCCTGCCTTCTGGTGCTATGGAGAATACATTCCTCACCCCATTCCCCCTTTTTTTCCCATAATTTTTTTATTTTATTTTTATTACAAACACCTTCCACTTGATGACGTGCCATCTGGTTACCAATATTTGGTGCACTACAGTTAACATTGACAATCATATTCATTGCGTAGTTTTCTTCTCTAGACGTATCTTATTATACTTATTGTACTTAATATCGCTATCTCTTTATCTTTCATTTTAGCTTTTTGTTTCTGTTATTCATATGTATTTACATTGATCATATTGTGGTTATGTTTAGTTTGTTTTAACTGCTGTGTCTTTTTCCTGGATCTTTTCTTTCAGTGGGGAATCAACATTAGCACATTCATCACTCTCTTTCCACTTCTCTGGCATTGTGTCTTAACAACAGCTACAGGGATAAAGTCGCTCCTTAGCAACAACCGACAAAATTTCTGCAGGGTGTGTTTATAGTTTGTCATCACTAGCCAACTTCCCTTGCCTAAGAAGTGGAAAAAGTTGAACAAACAAAACCTTTTATGGCAGAGAAAATGGAACCGTAAATTACACATGGCGGAGAGAGAGCTATGATAGACAGATAAATATAGATAGATGAGATAGATGAGATAGATAGATAGATAGATAGATAGATAGATAGATAGATAGATAGATAGGAAGATAGATAGATATAAATGATAGACATAGGTAGAATAGATATTAGATAGACATAGACAGATAGACAGATGATGGATGATGGATGGGTGGATGGATGGATAGATAGGAAGATATAGATTTAGATAGATAGATGATAGATAGATAGATAGATAGATAGATAGATAGATAGATAGATAGATAGATAGATGAGTTTGCACTCTCAAACAAAAAAATCTCCACACCACAAGCCAGCCAAACACCTGGGCACAAACAGACTCCCCCTGATACCTCCAGCTCAAACACACAGCAACCAGGCACCCAGATGAAACCAGCTTTCTAATAAATGATAGCCATCTGTTTACTTGGAGCCAAGCCGCACTAAAAGCCTCCAATACAGGAAACACAATGTTGCCAGCCAATCAAGACAAAAAAAGCCACAAAACAGACAGAAGATATTAGAAACACCAATCAAGCAGAACACAGCAAACTCCAAGACCAATAAACACAGACCAAGACTCCCAACCAATCAGGATGAAGAAAAAACCATTCTGGCACAGCAGTAGGCTATCCCCAAATTTAAAACTGAAATGGCTGTGAAAGTCTGACTCACAGACGAACACAATACAGAAGCCTGATGATGGCAGATGAGATTCTGCCGAAACGTTGCTACAACTTTAAAAGCACAACTATAATGACGTGGGAAAATACCCGATCAAAGCTGAATACCATTTAGATAGATAGATAGATAGATAGATAGATAGATAGATAGATAGATAGATAGATAGATAGATGATAGATAGAGAGATAGATAGATAGATAGATAGATAGATAGATAGAGATGATAGACATAGATAGAGGATAGATAGATGGATGGATGGGTGGATGGATGGATAGGAAGATAGATATAGATAGATATAGATGAAAGACATAGATGATAGATTGATACATAGAGATAGATAGATGATAGATAATAGATGATAGATAGATGGAGGTAGGTAGGTAGGTAGGTAGGTAAATAGATGTAGATTGATATAGACAGATAGATGTAGATGAGAGAGAGAGAGATGATAAAGATACAATAGAGGTAGAGATAGAAATAGACAGACAGATGATAGAGTGACAAGCTGTTAATGCCTCAAACTTTAGAGGTGCACCCTACAAAACTGGAGCATATTCCCATTTATCGATGTGTAAAACAACTGGTAATGATGCCACATTACCCAACTAGGGAACATCATCAGTGCTAGATGAGAGTGGGGTTTGCTTTCTCTTTGCGTAGAACTGGCTTGCCCTGTCAGTATCGATGGGACCTTGTTCGGACTATTTACTCTTTGTTAAACAGTTCCACCACCCAGACAGCTCTCACCAACACCGACAAGGGAAGCCGCTGGAATATTAAATGAGAATGAACCCTACCTCCTTCTAGCCCTGATGATGTTCCCCAGTTGGGTCGCTAAATGTCTCCAAGAAAACCACCAAGCTCAGAGAGCACCAAGGACCCCCCAGTCCTCCTCCTCCTCCTCCCCCACTCCCTTTTAGCACTGATGATGTTACCTAGCTGGGTAATGAAATGTCTGCAAGAAAAGTTCAGAGAGCCTCAAGGACCCCACAATCTCCATCTCCTCCTTCTCCTCCTCCTCTCTGCAAACCCCCCTCCCGTCTATCACTGATGATGTTCCCTAGTTGGGTCGTGAAACGTGAGACTGCCCCAAACCTCAATACTCTTAATGGTACAGGAGTTGGTAGAAGGAAGGAAAATAAAGGTGGGACAGAGATTGAAATCTCCCCTCCCATCCTCTCTCTCTACTTGTCCCATTGGATGTGCCTCCAGCTAATAACAAACACAGCCCACCATAAGTTGTGGGCCACAACTGTCATATTACTGTAAAACAAAATAAAATATGGGTGGTGCAGGTTTAAAAAAACCAGGGGCCGCCCCACATGTCAGCAAAGGAGCATAGCCCTGAGCAGAAGGCAGGCCTGGGGTGTACCAAATATATATAGAAAACCTGCTCAAGTTACACCACCCCGCCCCGTATTTACTCCACATCACTCAGTTCTCAGGCATGAGTAAGTTTCAGAGGAGCATGCTGGAATCTATGAGGGAGATTGTGTTTCCACAAATGGCCTTCTTGGCTGCCTACGTGGGCCACCGGGTCCCCAAGAGAGCATGGTGCTTTCCAGTTTGGGGGGGGGGGGGTGTTTCCCTACTAAGCCTGCTTCGGGCATAAAGATCTAAGTGCTAGAGCCCGCTGTAACTACATAGCCGAAAAGGCATTAGGAGTTGTTAACCTAACCCTGTGTAGCTTTTTCTCTGGGAATATTGCACTACTAACTAAAGCATACAAAACATTTGCTAGAGTCCAGGGGTCCCCAAACTTGGCAACTTTACAACTATGCTGGATGAGGAATTCTGGGAGCTGAAGTCCACATAAAGTTGCCAAGGTTGGAGACTTCTGTGCTAGACCAATTCTCGAATGCAGCTAACCAGTCTGGAACCCGCACTGAATATTGGGCATTAATATAATCATTGTACCTGATGATTCTTGATTCTTGACAAATGTTATCTTTTCTTTTATGCACACCGAGATATTTGCACCGAAGATAAATTCCTTGTGTGTCCAATCACACTTGGCCAATAAAGAATTCTATTCTGTTCTGTTCTACTCTACTCTATATTCTGTTCTATTCTTCATTCCAATATCTATTCTATTCTATTCTATTCTATTCTATTCTATTCTATTCTATTCTATTCTATTCTATTCTATTCTATTCTATTCTATTC